ATGAAAAAAAAAAAACGAACGAACAGTATTCCCAGATGTGAGTAAAGAAGCTGAAACAACAACTGAGTTTTACAGTGTGGTTGTTTGATTTGTATAAGAGTTATAAATGCGGAGTTGCAATTTAGGAGGGATGCAACTTTCTTATTGAGAAGGGTCGGATACTACGGTGATAAGGAAGATTTAAAGGAGCTAGTTCATAGAGGTATAGTGAGGCTCATCCTTACAGACTGTGTTTACTCAACAGAATGCAGATCTCATAACAAACGTAGTGACAGTCTTAAGAGATGTATGTTCCAATCATAAACAGGGTTCTTTTGTCAGACATTGCTGAGGAGGGTCTTTATGATAAAGTGATATACCTGCTGGAGACCTGGAAAAGTAACGATGTTATAGCTGGAGATTACTTTACATGATCAACACGATATGTTCTTATGAGATGTCACTAGGTGAAGATATTGTTTCATTAAACCAGCCTAGATTTGTTGATATACTGAGAAATAAACATCAACTTCTTAGAGAAATAATAAGTTCGGACACAAGCTGTAAAGTAACTGCTGCGATACTGTTATTCAAATACCTGGGCAGTATTGAAAAAAGTGAGCTATTACAACTGTTAATACCACCGACAAATGAAATGTTCACTGAGGGAGGTATTGTAAAGTTAGCTACTATCATAAAAGCGATACCTGGTGAAGAAGAAGAATTTGAAAAACAAGTAATCAGAGAGGTTGTTTCAGCTGACTTTATCAGCAAGTTTATTGAACAGTACGACAGTAATACTGAGGAGGTGTATCGTAGAAACCTGACATATGTGATAAGTAGAGTAGCTTGTCTAGGAGATAAAGCTGTAAGAAGCTCACTGGTTAAAAGTGGTGTAATAAAACATTTAATAATAACATGTGAACATTGCACTGACAGTGAGGTTATGTGCAATATATCAGCTACTCTACAGAACATTGCATACGATAAAGGTGATCTCTCACATGTTGACCACCTTGTTGAGGAGGGAGTACTAACCCTTATATCTAAACTACTACAGAAGTGGAGTGAAGATGACACTGTGATGGTTAAGTTACTTGTAACTTTACTGAACATTACCTGTAATAGGAAAGATATCGAGGAGTTAATAGCTAACAGTACAGAGTACGGAAATATACCTCTACTCCTACGAGGGTTATTAGAAACAGCTTCCAGTGACAGTGTTATTGATAAGACTATTAAGGTGATCAGGAATTTAGTAGTGGGGATTGATGTACTTCACACAGTGTTTCTACACGCAAGCTTCTTTACCACAGCTTTCCGACACCTGCAATCAATTACACTAAACAGTGATAGTAAGCAGTACCTACTGTGTGGTATCATATGTACATTAGCAAACAAGAATACTGATAAAATGAAAGCTCTTCTGATTCCTTACTCTCAACCACTGAAAGAATTAGCCAAGATAGGGAGTGATAGTGTGTTAAGTGTAAATGCTGCGATACTGTTAAATAAATACCTGGGCAGTATTGAGGAAAGTGAGCTATTACAACTGTTAATACCGCCGACAAATGAAATGTTCACTGAGGGCGGTATTGTAAAGCTAGCTAGTAACATAAAAGCGATACCTGATGAAGAAGAAGAATTTGGAAAACAAGTAATCAGAGAGGTTGTTTCAGCTGACTTTATCAGCAAGTTTATTGAACAGTACGACAGTAATACTGAGGAGGTGTATCGTAGAAACCTGACATATGTGATAAGTAGAGTAGCTTGTCTAGGAGATAAAGCTGTAAGAAGCTCACTGGTTAAAAGTGGTGTAATAAAACATTTAATAATAACATGTGAACATTGCACTGACAGTGAGGTTATGTGCAATATATCAGCTACTCTACAGAACATAGCATACGATAAAGGTGATTTCTCACATGTTGACCACCTTGTTGAGGAGGGAGTACTAACCCTTATATCTAAACTACTACAGAAGTGGAGTAAAGATGACACTGTGATGGTTAAGTTACTTGTAACTTTACTGAACATTACCTGTAATAGGGAGGATATCAGTGAGTTAATAGCTAACAGTAGTACAACAGAGGAGGGCAATATACCCAAACTAGTGACAAATATTTTTCAAACAAGCAGTAATATGAAGGTACTGGAGAGCACTATTTGTTGTATTGATAACATGTTACATGAGAGCATGGCTTTACATGAGCACTTCTCCAACAAACAACTCATAGACACGTGTATCTCCCGGATCAGATCTGATGTGTTATCTTCTGAGTACAAATTCAAGATATTACGGTTTATTGTCACCAAACTCACATGCAACCACCCTGCTAAAGTTGCTGCATTGTTAGTTCCACACACACATTCTTTGAAGGAAATCGCCGAGTTAGACACTGACAGTAAGTTATCTAGACTTGCTGCAGATTTGATAAATACGTACTTAAGTTGTGGAGAAAAGCGACATAAATGTGTTTTGGTTAACACACTGTTTATATTAAATATCTTGAAATTTTTTGCTCTATATATTGTAGACATTGTTTTAGACATTAAAGTAGGGATAAACTCTGTTAATGATGCTACTTTGAGCACACGGTATGAGGGTTATTGTTTACTTTTATTTAGTATTTTACCTTTGATTTATCTAAATTATCAATCTGTTTTACGGTATTACATTCAATGCTGGGGCATGATAACTGTCGATCCTGTGATATCTCTACAGGGATCAAACAGAGGACGAATAATGAAGTTCTTTTTCCCTTGGAGGTTTAACAGTGTAAAACACACTATCTTGAACATTTTAACAGTATTACAGCTGCATCCCCTTATAACAGCTTTTGAGCTAGTGTTTCATCGGAGTAAAAAGCTGAGTACAATCATAACTAATAAATTTCATTTTGGGAGACTCTCCACTCAAGAGAAGATTCTAGAGAATGTGCCCTGCACTCTTATCAAGGGTATCATTTTGTATAAATTTATCGACAACAACAAAAGTGATGTTGATTTTAGTTTGGGATCGGATGAATATGTTACCCTATTTTCAACTGTATATGGTATACTAACACTCTGCTATAAAGTAGCAAGTTTTGAAGAGTTGTGCCGGAGTGCAGACAAATCTTATCCTGGAGCCCTCACGACATGTCAGAAACTAGTGTCGTTCATAGGAGTATTGCTCTCACTTAATTCACGACTCATCATGTGCCTTGTTCTATTCAGCGTGATGCGTGATAATGGAACTATGTGGATTTTTACCATCAGTGTATTTCTTCACATATTGTTATCTTCTGTTACTCACTTACTATCTCATCACGAGTGGCAGTCTCCTTATGACTCTTCGGTAAAAAGAAAATTTGTGATAAAGGATTTTATTCTGAAAGAAGGCAGTAACAGAAACAGTAAACTTGTTGTGATTGGACGCTGCGCACTAGTGTTCTGTCTATCATGGAGTGAATCCTTTATAGTGAGCCTCCGACATCCTATAGATCTGGTGTCGGGAGATATTCCAAGCACTTATCATCTGAGATCAAGACGACAGTTTTTCTTGATTTATGTGTTTCACCTGTTAGAAGTGATAACCGTCACGGTTTTAGCAAACACTCTCAACTCTAAACGATGGATAATGGATTTGGGGTATGTATCGCTGCTACTATTTCTCGTATCTGGTGCAATGTATATGCTGTACTTTACAGTTCTTAATCCAGACAAGACATCTAAATTATTGTCGGTTTCAATCAACCCCAGGTTGAAGCAGTTTGGATATAAATCCCAGGTGACCACCATCACTCGATTTTGTCATGTAACTGAAAAAGCAACAAAGATAAACAGCACAAAAGTCTACTCATCCAATCAGTATAATTACAGACTCCAAGTTCTAGATCCTTGTTATGACTGCATGTTGGGTAGAGAACACACAGATAAAGATGAACCTGTTAATCAGAGCAAGTGCTGCTCACTATCAAGTTTTCTGAAGAAACTTAGAAACTGCTTTACTCGACCATTTAATAGCACTTACAGGAGACTCTCGCCCTCAATTAGTGATGCTGAGAATCTTGCTGAGAATCTTCAGTTGCGTCGTAAGGACGTGGATTTGCTCATTACTAAAGTGAGAAAGTACGACAATATTCATCGTCATCAGATATATTTATTTCCTGGTATTGAGAACATTGAAAAAGTGGACCCCAAATTTATCTCGAGGTGTAGAGCGATTGGTTCAAATGTGTTCCGCAGTATTAATGATATCAGGGACGATGAGTTGAGTCCTAATCTCGTACCAGCGTGCAACAAACTGAAAGGTAGAATAGAAAACAAGTACACTGATGCGACTGAAGGTGACATTCTCAATGATGAGCTGGTTGAACAGATCTGTGACCTCTGCGAAGAATACTTTTCCTTAAAAGAGCAGCAATGGGAAAATAAGGTTCTTGCCTGGTGTGAAACAGCTCCCACTGAGATTCTTACTAAATATGACAATGGAAAATGGGATTCAGCTCAATGTATAAAGGATATTGAGAAGTGGATAACAGAAAAAGAAAGACTTGCAGTATACTTGAACCCTTGTAATAATAACGCATCAAACCTTCCTGACACTACTATAGTGCTGTACGATGAGAAACACTCTAATTTCCACATCAACGGGGTTAAAACACCCTCAAAACACGGCTGGGTACTGAGGAACTGTTACCATAGAAACAGGGGGAATTCTTCATCAGGACAAACTGAGTATCAGCCTGTTGGACAAGATATTGTTGCCATAGAAACAGGACAAGATATTGTTACCATAGAAACAGGACAAGATATTGTTAATTCAGCAGTTTAGTTTGTCAGTTTATATAATGTTTGAAGTTTATTGGTTTATGTGGTATTACTATTCTGGTACAATGTGGTCCGCCTCCTCCATTCTAACTAGATATTTACAAATAAGTATTTAGAAACTTACATCACCTTAATAATCCCAGAATGTGTGTTTTCTGTTCGTCTGTGTGCGTGTAATTTCCGAGCGGCTTAATCAAGAAAACGGTAAGAGTTACGGGGCTCGCATATGTAGCTGCATCAATAGTGTAATTGGGTTACCCGGGTAAGATTCGCTGTCATATTATACTATAATCTTATTAGGTTATTAGGGGAGGGGCACTGTTTGGACTGCAAAGAGAGTTCATACTTTCATAAGACAATGTTATGCGTGTTCACAAATATGATAGGCGGTTGTGGTGTTAAGGGTTAATTTCTATTGATTATTGTTTAAGATACTATTGTTTAAGATACCATTGGATACGTGAGGGCACTCCGAATAGAATTGCTCACCTAATGCGGGGTTTGACTCAACGGGTAAATACTAAATACTCCTACCTATTAATTCTAACTAGATATTTACAAATAAGTATTTAGAAACTTACATAATCTCATATCCTCTGTCTTATATTCAATAACCACACCTTGAAGTTCGATTGTGTAATCTATAAGTAATGATATTACTTTATCGGTAATAATTAGGTAATCATGATATAATTCTATTAGAAATGATGTTACTTTATAATCTCAGTAATTAATGATAATGATATAATTTTATTAGAAATGATGTTACTTTATTGATAATGATATTACTTTATTAGCACTTATATTACTTTATCAGAAATAAAGCAACATCATTACTACATTATTGGTGTGCAGCAGTTTTAATTTATAATATGAACAGTGAATATCTCGGATGTACCCAGTACCCAAAAATAATCCCGCGTGCAAATGAACATTATTATGTTAATTACATTATTATGTTACATAACAATGTAACATTGATTACATTATTATGTTAATCACATTATTATGTTAATTACATTATTATGTTAATTACCCCTCTTGATAATGTATCTGGCTAGATGTTAAAACACGTAGCTGAGATCGGTAATGCTGGAAGCTGATTGGTTAATCAATGACTCAATCTGTTTACCGCGTCTATAATATCTCTCCCAAGAGTATTACCATGGTAACGCTACCATATAAGGTAATATTATGGTGGTATCCAGATCTCAGAGTTGAGTCTGCTTTTATTTGGATCTATCGGCAACTTATTTCCCTTTTTGTCGATATGATCTATCTATAATACTATGAACATACTAATTATTTTGGTTAATTTGACCTGGGTACATCGCTTGCACCTTCTGAAATTCTTCCATCTATCCATCGATAGAAATCAAACTTATCTCTATAAATTTACCTTACGTTCGTAATGTCGCTTTTCTCCACGATTCTAATGTATTTACCAAATATATGTTCGTGATATGAGTGAACAGTGAATGTTACTGCTTTATTGTTGGTGTATACTGTGTATATTCAGTTGAATACTACTACTTTTCTAACTGTATCTGAGCATATGTTACAGACTCGTTATTTATACGTTTTACTTGTGTTTGATTAGTGAGTTTGTCTTCAATCAGACAATTAATTAATAAGATAACTAATTACCTTTTAAAACTTCGGTTTTAATCAGTGTTCAATTGTAAAGATCTTTCTAATTTCTAATATACATTATACTGCAGATAATAGTCAATAGTTTTATTATTTTATTCTAACAGTGAAATCATTTAACAATATATGATATGTCTAGAAGATCAGATGATATCAGATACCAGACAGAGATCAGATGTTCAACTAAAACAGCGTTTCTGCACGTGCGACGAAATATCTGGTGAAGTGGTAAGTTAAAAACGTGCAGTATGATTGTTGTGAGATTAATTCTTTAAATCTACTTTTTAATAACCATCTGATTGTGTCTTATATTATACGTATATTTCAATTCATATGTTGATCTCCTTAGTGACTGGGTAATGTATACACTACTTGTTGCAGTGTTAGCATTACTTCTGGGTAATGTATACACTACTTGTTGCAGTGTTAGCATTACTTCTGGGTAATGTATACACTACTTGTTGCAGTGTTAGCATTACTTCTGGGTAATGTATACACTACTTGTTGCAGTGTTAGCACTACTTCTGGGTAATGTATACACTACTTGTTGCAGTGTTAGCATTACTTCTGGGTAATGTATACACTACTTGTTGCAGTGTTAGCACTACTTCTGGGTAATGTATACACTACTTGTTGCAGTGTTAGCATTACTTCTGGGTAATGTATACACTACTTGTTGCAGTGTTAGCATTACTTCTGGGTAATGTATACACTACTTGTTGCAGTGTTAGCATTACTTCTGGGTAATGCATACACTACTTGTTGCAGTGTTAGCATTACTTCTGGGTAATGTATACACTACTTGTTGCAGTGTTAGCACTACTTCTGGGTAATGTATACACTACTTGTTGCAGTGTTAGCATTACTTCTGGGTAATGTATACACTACTTGTTGCAGTGTTAGCACTACTTCTGGGTAATGTATACACTACTTGTTGCAGTGTTAGCATTACTTCTGGGTAATGTATACACTACTTGTTGCAGTGTTAGCATTACTTCTGGGTTATGTATACACTACTTGTTGCAGTGTTAGTATTACTTCTGGGTAATGTATACACTTCTTGTTGCAGTGTTAGCATTACTTCTGGGTTATGTATACACTACTTGTTGCAGTGTTAGCACTACTTCTGGGTAATGTATACACTACTTGTTGCAGTGTTAGCATTACTTCTGGGTAATGTATACACTACTTGTTGCAGTGTTAGCATTACTTCTGGGTAATGTATACACTACTTGTTGCAGTGTTAGCATTACTTCTGGGTAATGTATACACTACTTGTTGCAGTGTTAGCATTACTTCTGGGTAATGTATACACTACTTGTTGCAGTGTTAGCACTACTTCCGGGTAATGTATACACTACTTGTTGCAGTGTTAGCATTACTTCTGGGTAATGTATACACTACTTGTTGCAGTGTTAGCATTACTTCTGGGTAATGTATACACTACTTGTTGCAGTGTTAGCATTACTTCTGGGTAATGTATACACTACTTGTTGCAGTGTTAGCATTACTTCTGGGTAATGTATACACTACTAGTTGCAGTGTTAGCATTACTTCTGGTTTGGTTCAGTCCATGGATTAGGACTAAATTAGACGCTGGAGACTAAATTATTATAGTATGTTTAGTTCACGCAATGTTTAATAACATCCGATTTTCTAATGTTCTAAATTATACAGGGTGGGCCAAAAGTCAGTGTGCAAACGTTGGCCTTAATAGCTCAGTCACTGAGTGCCCAATTGAAATACTTCCTTCTGGTATGACTTAGTACCACCACTGGTTCGAGGAATTTGTCAACTCGAAAAATATTCGCGTTCATTTTTTTCAAATGGAGGTTCATTTTCACATTTATTTGATAGTTTGGATAGTTGGATCAAGCTAAATGTTATTGAATTGTGTTTGGCCATTCGAATTACGTTTGTCCTGAAAGAATTAGAACTGTAGCTTCTCAGATGACCGAGATATGAAGCATAACGAGTTTATTCATTACGTGTGATCAGGTGATTGGTTTACCTAATCACGTGATAAGGTGACCCCGTTAACTACCCCGTTAAACATTATGGGAATTGTTTAGGGTGCCCAATTAAGGTGTCGTGTCACGGTGTCACATAATCACCCAGTCAATTTTGTTAACGAGATACACAAAATGCTTGATAACTTCGTCATTTCTAATCCGTTTTGCCTCATGTTTTCAGATCATATGCAAAATTTGATAATCTACCGTCTCTGAAAAAATTAGGCGTTCAGCATGTTCAGAGAAAACAATATAAGTGTTTTAATATTGAATGGGCGTGGTCTAAAATATTCGAATTTTCAAATTTTGACGACGGAATCCTCGAACCAGTAAGTACAGTATGCCATCTGCAAAGCAACAGCTCTCAAATATAAAACACAGCGGAGGTATAAGACCCAACGTTTGCACACTGACTTTTGGCCCACCCTGTACTATTTAACTGTTTTACTAACACTGCCGTTCGGTACAGACTCGTGTTATTTTTGCACTCGTGTTCTACTACTAACTATTACATACTATTTCAGAGTCTAGCGAATACTGGATAGGGTGTTAACGCAGTCCACCTTACAGACAAAATGGTTTATTTATCAACTTTTAATGCAATTGTTTAAATAAAATAATATTTATCTGTATACCTATAAAATACGGTTTACAATACTTTATAATTATATTTAATTTTTCAGAGCAAAAATCATGATTTACGTAACTTCCCGCCCAGTCATAACGACAATATTAAAAGCTTAGTTTTTAAATGTCTTATATTAAATATTATGAAACTATATAATTATAGTAGATATATATATTTATAAAGATAAAACATAACACTGTAACAGCACCAAATTCAGACAGCCACTATTACAGTTTGGCAACTCTGTGGATAAGAAAAGTTTATCAGAAGAACTGTTAGGAAGGTGCCAGGATACAGAATCTCAGAACCAACTAACAATTAAGAAGTAGAACCTTGTCAGTATAACGGGAAACATGAACAATATTCAAATACGATTATCCGAACACTTCCAGAGTGCTTGATATTTCAGTGACTTATTATATTTTATTATATCTTGAATACGATTAAATATCTTGATTAAGATTTAATATTTTGAATGCGATTAAATATTTTGAATGCGATTAAATATTTTGAATACGGTTAAATATTTTGAATTCGAATAAATATTTTGAATACGATTAAATATTTTGAATGCAATTAAATATTTTGAATACGATTAAATATTTTGAATACGAATAAATATTTTGAATGCGATTAGATATTTATATTTTGAATGCGATTAAATATTTTGAATGCGATTAAATATTTTGAATACGGTTAAATATTTTGAATTCGAATAAATATTTTGAATACGATTAAATATTTTGAATGCGATTGAATACTTTGAATACGATTAAATATTTTGAATACGATTAAATATTTTGAATACGATTAAATATTTTGAATGCGATTGAATACTTTGAATACGATTTAATATTTTGAATGCGATTGAATACTTTGAATACGATTTAATATTTTGAATGCGATTGAATACTTTGAATGCGATTAAATGTTTTGAATGCGATTGAATATTTTGAATACGATTAAATATTTTGAATACGAATAAATATTTTGAATGCGATTAGATATTTATGTTTTGAATGCGATTAAATATTTTGAATGCGATTAAATATTTTGAATACGGTTAAATATTTTGAATTCGAATAAATATTTTGAATACGATTAAATATTTTGAATGCGATTGAATACTTTGAATACGATTAAATATTTTGAATACGATTAAATATTTTGAATACGATTAAATATTTTGAATGCGATTGAATACTTTGAATACGATTTAATATTTTGAATGCGATTGAATACTTTGAATGCGATTAAATGTTTTGAATGCGATTGAATATTTTGAATACGATTACATTTTTTAATCGGTTTATTTATGAAAATTACAATTTTTCTTATTTAAATTTATAGTTTAAATTTGTATATCACTATGATCTGCTTCCAATATTTGTTTGAAATAAATTACATATTCCATACTGTTTATTTGGATGTGCTTTCTGTAGATAATAATAATCTCCACTGCACTAATATCCACTGGAGATATAGCGGAGATACGAGCGAACATGTTGCTCAAATAACAGTCTTAAAGCTAGGTGGGGCTGAAACTTACAAATGTTTCGTTGAATAGTGCTATTCACTATTGCTGTATTGTTCGCTTACATTTCTACTTAATGAACAAAGAACAGTAAAATAATTGTAATGTTTCGGTAGATTCCAATGAAATGTAACTGAAATACAACAATATAAATATAAACACAGTCCAGGTAAAGCAGAATACATTGCGACTAAAAATATAGTCTTAAAGATACAAACAAAAGGTGCAGGATTTAAAATGCTGCTCTAAGGATTTGAGATATTAACCAATCAGAGCACAGTATTCACACCACGTGACACAAACTTATCAACGTCAGTACATAATTTCAAACGTTCATATCTCATAATAAACTGAGAAATACTGATGATTGTTTTTATTAGCACATTTTTTATTAAAGTCAACGGCATTGCCATCAACTAGGGGAAACGTAGGATAACTATAATAAAGAACAAGTAATTTAAAAAATTGTGACTTAAAAACTGGGTCGTTTAAAATTTACAAAGAAAAAAGCTTAAAATCTAAGCTTTAACCGATTAAAAGTATTAATTTTGTATTAAATATAAGACACACGTAGATAAATACCACGTGAGCACAATTAACTATAACAAATAATTAATACCAGTGTATATTACTTTTACTTTGTATTACGAGCACTCCATACATAAAGTTGTAAATGTAAGGCTGCTTTGCAAAGTGTGCAATAATATTAAACAAGAGAAAGTTAACAACTCAGTGCTCCCTAGTCATGTACACACTTATAGTCATTAAGCCGCGCACTGATATTGATACGCAGTTTTAATAATCCGTGACCATGGTAACATCACCTTAGTTCTCAACTTGACAATTTGCTTAATTTAAAAAGAAGCTACTTGAATAGCAACTGTTTTAAAAGTAAGTAGGTTTCACATCACCAGTCACCAATCACCATGGTAACTAAACCTTTTGTTTTTTATTTTTCTTAGCGAGCGGCTGAATATTCTCCTTCTCAGACAGAACAGGTTTTGTGGAGGAATGTTGAGTGTGTCGTGTAACAGCTGATACTCCGTCTACAAACTTCGTCCTGATAGGATGAGGGTCTTATTATAACCAATCAGAGCACAGTATTCACACCACGTGACACAAACTAACCAATCAGAGCACAGTACTCACACCACGTGACACAAAGTAACCAATCAGAGCACAGTACTCACATCATGTGACACAAAGAAACCAATCAGAGCCCAGTACTCACACCACGTGACACAAACTAACCAATCAGAGTACAGTACTCACACCACGTGACACAAAGTAACCAATCAGAGCACAGTACTCACACCACGTGACACAAAGTAACCAATCAGAGCAAAGTACTCACATCATGTGACACAAAGAAACCAATCAGAGCCCAGTACTCACACCACGTGACACAAACTAACCAATCAGAGTACAGTACTCACACCACGTGACACAAAGTAACCAATCAGAGCACAGTACTCACACCACGTGACACAAAGTAACCAATCAGAGCACAGTACTCACACCACGTAACACAAAGTAACCAATCAGAGCACAGTACTCACACCACGTGACACAAAGTAACCAATCAGAGCACAGTACTCACACCACGTGACACAAAGTAACCAATCAGAGCACAGTACTCACACCACGTGACACAAAGTAACCAATCAGAGCACAGTACTCACACCACGTGACACAAAGTAACCAATCAGAGCACAGTACTCACACCATGTGACACAAAGTAACCAATCAGAGCACAGTACTCACACCACGTGACACAAAGTAACCAATCAGAGCACAGTACTCACACCACGTGACACAAACCAACCAATCAGAACACAGTATTCACAATGTAAATATCCAATCTACCTGAAGAGAACGTTAGCATTCTGGAACATGCCATCTTTGAGGGATACCACGACGAATTGAGAATGTTTGAAGTGAGCCCTCAACATCTGTCCGATGTTCTGAGTGTGGGACAAGTCTAGCGCTGCGTCCACCTGGAGAGGAACACGTTTTAGTATTCCCTAACAGAGGAGTATAATTAGTATAATTAGTATAATCTTACTATATATAAAGCGAGACGATATATATATATTTATTTATCCGTGCCATTTTACTGACACCACGGCATCAACTTTAACGCAACTTTCCGCAAAAACCGTAAAAGATATACAACTGAAACTTTTTTGACTGGGTCAAATGCTTTATAGGCCTTCAAATCAGCATGAAAAAATAAAAAATTGACCAAGGAATAATAATTTTAGTGCCCGAAATTTGGACTCCCAAGTGGTGTCAAAAACGCGAATTAAATAGGTAATAATTATTTTAGTCTCTCGAGTCTTGACACCACTTTAGGGTTAGACGGGTTCCTGCTAGTTAGTATAATTAGTATAATTAGTATAATTAGTATAATTAGTATAATTAGTATAATTAGTATAATTAGTATAATTAGTATGATAAGTATAATTAGTATAATTACCTCGTCCAGAATGTATAGAGGAGCGGGTTTGAAGAGAAGAAGAGATAAGATAAGAGAGAGGGCCACTAAAGATCTCTGTCCACCGCTCAATTCGGTTAGTGACTCTTTCCATACCTCACCGAACCCTACCTGCAATTATAAGCTATTAAAGTAAGGTAGTATAGAACCCAACCTGCAATTATAAGCTATTAAAGTAAGGTAGTATAGAACCCAACCTGCAATTATAAGCTATTAAAGTAAGGTAGTATAGAACCCAACCTGCAATTATAAACTATTAAAGTAAGGTAGTATAGAACCCAACCTGCAATTATAAACTATTAAAGTAAGGTAGTATAGGTTTACAAAGTAACCTGCAATTATAAACTATTAAAGCTTTAAAGTAAGACCAAGACAAAGCTACTTGTCTAAGTTGGGACAAACTCTAAAGAGGAACTGCGAACCCTGATGCGGGACAGGGATATATTGAGGGGGTTTTCTGGCGTAGATCGGACTAAGCTCCTACAATTATAAACTATTAAAGTAAGGTAGTATAGGTTTACAAAGTAAGATATGTTTACTTAGCAACAATAACAACCTATATAAAGATACAAACATTAGCACTTACCTTGACTTCTAAACCATTAGTAACAGGTCTCCCCTCCAAAGATATAAACATTAGCACTTACCTTGACTTCTAAACCATTAGTAACAGGTCTCCCCTCCAAAGATATAAACATTAGCACTTACCTTGACTTCTAAACCATCAGTAACAGGTCCCCCCTCCAAAGATATAAACATTAGCACTTACCTTGACTTCTTAACCATCAATAACAGGTCTCCCCTCCAAAGATATAAACATTAGCACTTACCTTGACTTCTAAACCATCAGTAACAGGTCTCCCCTCCAAAGATATAAACATTAGCACTTACCTTGACTTCTAAACCATCAGTAACAGGTCACCCCTCCAAAGATATAAACATTAGCACTTACCTTGACTTCTAAACCATCAGTAACAGGTCTCCCCTCCAAAGATATAAACATTAGCACTTACCTTGACTTCTAAATCATCAGTAACAGGTCTCCCCTCCAAAGATATAAACATTAGCACTTACCTTGACTTCTAAACCATCAGTAACAGGTCTCCCCTCCAAAGATATAAACATTAGCACTTACCTTGACTTCTAAACCATCAGTAACAGGTCTCCCCTCCAAAGATATAAACATTAGCACTTACCTTGACTTCTAAACCATCAGTAACAGGTCTCCCCTCCAAAGATATAAACATTAGCACTTACCTTGACTTCTAAACCATCAGTAACAGGTCTCCCCCCCAAAGATATAAACATTCGCACTTACCTTGACTTCTAAACCATCAGTAACAGGTCTCCCCTCCAAAGATATAAACATTAGCACTTACCTTGACTTCTAAACCATCAGTAACAGGACTCCCCTCCAAAGATATAAACATTAGCACTTACCTTGACTTCTAAACCATCAGTAACAGGTCTCCCCTCCAAAGATATAAACATTAGCACTTACCTTGACTTCTAAACCATCAGTAACAGGACTCCCCTCCAAAGATATAAACATTAGCACTTACCTTGACTTCTAAACCATCAGTAACAGGTCTCCCCTCCAAAGATATAAACATTAGCACTTACCTTGACTTCTAAACCATCAGTAACAGGTCTCCCCTCCAAAGATATAAACATTAGCACTTACCTTGACTTCTAAACCACCAGTAACAGGTCTCCCCTCCAAAGATATAAACATTAGCACTTACCTTGACTTCTAAACCATCAGTAACAGGTCTCCCCTCCAAAGATATAAACATTAGCACTTACCTTGACTTCTAAACCATCAGTAACAGGACTCCCCTCCAAAGATATAAACATTAGCACTTACCTTGACTTCTAAACCATCAGTAACAGGTCTCCCCTCCAAAGATATAAACATTAGCACTTACCTTGACTTCTAAACCATCAGTAACAGGTATCCCCTCCAAAGATATAAACATTAGCACTTACCTTGACTTCTAAACCATCAGTAACAGGTCTCCCCTCCAAAGATATAAACATTAGCACTTACCTTGACTTCTAAACCATCAGTAACAGGTCTCCCCTCCAAAGATATAAACATTAGCACTTACCTTGACTTCTAAACCATCAGTAACAGGTCTCCCCTCCAAAGATATAAACATTAGCACTTACCTTGACTTCTAAACCATCAGTAAGAGGTCTCCCCTCCAAAGATATAAACATTAGCACTTACCTTGACTTCTAAACCATCAGTAACAGGTCTCCCCTCCAAAGATATAAACATTAGCACTTACCTTGACTTCTAAACCATCAGTAACAGGTCTCCCCTCCAAAGATATAAACATTAGCACTTACCTTGACTTCTAAACCATCAGTAACAGGACTCCCCTCCAAAGATATAAACATTAGCACTTACCTTGACTTCTAAACCATCAGTAACAGGTCTCCCCTCCAAAGATATAAACATTAGCACTTACCTTGACTTCTAAACCATCAGTAACAGGTATCCCCTCCAAAGATATAAACATTAGCACTTACCTTGACTTCTAAACCATCAGTAACAGGTCTCCCCTCCAAAGATATAAACATTAGCACTTACCTTGACTTCTAAACCATCAGTAACAGGTCTCCCCTCCAAAGATATAAACATTAGCACTTACCTTGACTTCTAAACCATCAGTAACAGGTCTCCCCTCCAAAGATATAAACATTAGCACTTACCTTGACTTCTAAACCATCAGTAAGAGGTCTCCCCTCCAAAGATATAAACATTAGCACTTACCTTGACTTCTAAACCATCAGTAACAGGTCTCCCCTCCAAAGATATAAACATTAGCACTTACCTTGACTTCTAAATCATCAGTAACAGGTCTCCCCTCCAAAGATATAAACATTAGCACTTACCTTGACTTCCAAACCATCAGTAACAGGTCTCCCCTCCAAAGATATAAACATTAGCACTTACCTTGACTTCTAAACCATCAGTAACAGGTCTCCCCTCCAAAGATATAAACATTAGCACTTACCTTGACTTCTAAACCATCAGTAACAGGTCTCCCCTCCAAAGATATAAACATTAGCACTTACCTTGACTTCTAAACCATCAGTAACAGGTCTCCCCTCCAAAGATATAAACATTAGCACTTACCTTGACTTCTAAACCATCAGTAACAGGTCTCCCCTCCAAAGATATAAACATTAGCACTTACCTTGACTTCTAAACCATCAGTAACAGGTCTCCCCTCCAAAGTCTGCAGTTTAACCCTCGCTCCAGGAAGCAGCGTAGAGAATATAGAGCCGAAATCCTTGTTCACCTGCTCCCAGGCTCTCCTAACTGCCCGGTTCTTCTTCTCGTCCAGTTCCTTGATCACCTTGTTTATCTTGTGCTTGTCGTTAGTCACAATGTCTTTCCTTTTCACCAGGTCGATGTAACGTTTCTCCGCTTCTCCTAGCAGGTGCATTGTTACCATAGTTACCATGGTTACACTACTAGTTACCATGGTTACACTACTAGTTACCATAGTTACACTACTAGCAGGTGCATTGCTCTCATGTTCACATTCTTGGACAGTTTCTCTTTACTTGCCTTCAGACGCTCCAACTTCTTATCACTTTCTTTCAGGTCCTGTTTCTCAAAGTCGTAGGCAGTGTCCCTCTGTCCGAAGTACTGTTTTTCAGAAGCAATCCACTCATAGTTGTTGAGGTAATACTGGACCTGCTGCTTTGCTTCGCTCGCTTCCTTGTTCAGTTTACTCAGCTTGTGGGTCAGCTCCTTCAGCTTTATCCCGCAGCTACTTATCAGCTTCTCCGCCGCTTTCTGCTCCTTCACAAAGTTTTCTATCTCAGCAGAACACTGTTGTATCAGTTCACGCTGAGCCCCAAGTTCAGCAGCCAGTGCCTCCCTCACCGCCGCGCACTCAGTCAGCTTTAACTGGGCTCCCTCAACAAGCTCCTGAGCAGCAGCTATAGCCTCCTCGCACTTAGGCAGCTGCTCTCGCAGACCCTCCAGCTCCTTAGCTAGCTCACTGCTCACCTCCAACTCTAGTTCTTTCAACTTGTTCACCTTTGCTTTCGCCTCCTTCGAACACTTGTTTAATTTACTCTTTGCGTCTAATATCCTCCTCTCCGACTTCTTCAGTTCTTTCTCTTGTTCAGATTTGAAGTTCTTCATCTTAGCTTCCACTTCCGCGCACTTCTTTAAGAGACTCTTTTCTTTGTCGTTAAAATTATCTACAATTTCCTTTTGCTTTGCCAGGTCCTCCTTAGTCCTCCTCAACTCCTCTATGTCCTTGTAATGAGAGGTCTGCTTCAATCTTTCTTCTAATAAATCACGCTCGTGCTTCTTCAGCCTCAGCTGACCTTTCAGTTCCTCCCACTCGTGGACAACTCTTTCCATTTTACTCAACTCTCCCTCTACCTGTCTGTACTGCTCTTTGTACTGAGTGAGATCAGATCTGGACTGTTTGCAGGCAGAGAGTTCTTTAAGAACACATCTAGAAGTGTTCCTGGACCCTCCCGTTAGAGTACCTGCCGGATCGTATACATCTCCCTCCAGAGTAATAACCTTCCTCTTCACTGACTTGTCGAATGCTACTTTCTTAGCTTGCTCCTTAGTTTTACAGATGAGAACCCCTCCAAAACAGAACTTCATGGCCGGTTCCACCTGTTTATCAAACTGGATGACATCCAGAGCTAGGTGACAGTTGTCCCCACCGACCAGTCTCTTGGCACTGTTAACCACCTCCCTGTCTATAACATTGCTGCGGATCTTGTTGAGGGGTATCATGACGTACCTTCTGCGGAGTTGGCCGTGTTTGATGAGCAGAGCACTGGTGTCCTCGTTGTCTGTCACCACGTTATACAACCTCCCCCCAGCGGCAACCTCTAGAGCCATCGCGTACTGGTTATCCGGTACAGTGAAGAGATCAGCTACCAGTCCCTTTACACGGGACCTATCAAAGTGCCTGTCTGGGGACACGTAGTCGAACTGGAGTTGCGGGAACTTGTTCACTAACTCGTTTACCTGTTTTGAAGCTTTAGCCACCTTGTTTTCTAGTTCACATTTCTCATTTTGTAGCTCACTATGCACCTCTTCATGAGAGAAGCCAAGCTTCTCAATTCTCCTCTCCACACCTTCCACAACTGTTACAGCCGTGTCAAACTCGCCCTTCTCCCGGGCTATTTCCCTCTCCGCCTTCTTGCAGTCATTCTCCATCTTCTTTATAGTGCTCTGAGAGTGTGCTAGTTTCAGGTTAGCTTGTTGGTTTGCTGTCTGTGCCTCGCTCAGCGAGTCTTTTAGCTTCATCAGATGTTCAGTGTAGGTCAGCTGCTCTCCGTCTTCTCCCTCCATCTGTCCCGCTTGTACCTGGGTGTAGTTAGACTCTGCTCTCTCCACGTTTCCTCTCTCTTTCTCCTCCAACTCCTTGTACTTCTCTGCCTCTTCTCTCACTGCTGTCAACTCCTCTGATTTATTAGAGATGAGTTTCTCAGTGTTAGCGATACTTCTCAACATGCTCTCCTTCTCCTTCTCCTCCTGTCTAACAGCGTCCAGCACGTTATCCAGATCTGACGTAGCCTTTACCTCCCTCTTACTCATGTCCGTCATCTCAGTCTCCAGCTCCTCCAACTTAGAAGAAGCCTGTCCTTTCCTGGTCTGTTCCAATCTACAGATCTCCTCCTTCAGCCGTTCTATCTCACTCTTACTTGCACCCACTTCGTTATCCACGGTGTTTATCTGGTCCTGTAAAGACAGCACCTCCCCCGCTGCGTTCTGGTCCACGTGTTGAGCACGTGTGTATTTGTAGGCAACCACTAGTCGGGTTAATGTTTCTATGTGTCGCTGTATCTTCTGGTACTCCAAATAGGACGCTCTCTCTGCTTTCAGCTTCTCTGAAGTGAGCACAAATCAGAACCGAGTATTGGTAGCACGTGGTAATATGTGAGCACAAATCAGAAGACAGTATTAGTATTTATTAGTATTTATACAACGTGATAACAAATAAAATTGTAAATAACTCAGCAAACTAAGTTTGGTTGTGGGATAATAAAACAGTATAAAGAACAAGAGTATTGCTGTGTATTAAATAAATGTATATGTACCAAGAGTAGGGTTCAGCTCTTCATCTAGTATCTTGTTTATATCAGTTAGTTTGTTATCTTTCTTCTCAATAGTTTTAAGGGCAGATTGTTTCTTACTCTCGTAAAGAGACGTTCCAGCCGCCTCCTCTATCATCGATAATATCTCTTTAGGCTTCATGTTTAGAACCTACAGAGTTACATTGATAGTTACCATAGTTACACTACTAGTTACCATAGTTACACTACTAGTTACCATAGTGACACTACTAGTTACCATAGTTACACTACTAGTTATCATAGTGACACTACTAGTTACCATAGTGACACTACTAGTTACCATAGTTACACTACTAGTTACCATAGTTACACTACTAGTAACCATAGTTACACTACTAGTTACCATAGTTACACTACTAGTTGCCATAGTTACACTACTAGTTACCATAGTTACACATTAAAGTAAGTACCTGGGTTACAAAGTGTACAGATACCATCAACAAGAACAGATCCGTCATTACACCCGTCCCCTGCTCGTATCACCTGTAACACACGTTACTGGTTACTATAGTTACATTATTAGTTACCATAGTTACACTACTAGTTACCAAAGTTACACTACTCGTTACTATAGTTACACTACAAGTAAAAAAGAATAACAGTTACTATAGTTACACTACAAGTAAAAAAGAATAACAGTTACCATAGTTACACTACAAGTAAGAAAGAATAACAGTTACCATAGGTGCGCTATAAATTACAAAAAATAATAGTAGTATAGTTATCATAGTTAAAATAACTATTTTACAATAGTAGCCGGGTGGTGTAGTGGTAACACGATCGCCTCCCAAGCAGAAGACCTGGGTTCAAATACGGTCGGATGCAAGTCGGCCAGTTACCAAGCTGTGATTTGGTACAGCTTCGGCTGGTGATACACACTCTCTGGCTCGTAGGACTAACCCCCCTACAGCTAGTATAGTGCCTCGGCACAGAGTGGCTTAGGGTTACTGAAAAGGAGATAAGCACCTCAAGCCATCCCAACGTTCGGGAGAGACCTGGCCTTGTATCTTGTATCTTGTATAGTTCCACTACAAGTAAAAAAGAATAAGAATGCTCGTTACCATGGTTACTAATTAGTCATTCCCAGCTCGCCCTGATCGCTAATTAGATTCACAAGATTGTAGACGACTCTTCATGTCTAAATTGGTTCAGTATTTTAAATTGGTTATATGTTGACAAGATTGAGTTACAAAATCAAGAAGTAAACTCGCCTAACTACACTGTTTTATTTTAAATATCTAAAATATAAATATGGATCTAAAAGCTTAAGATTAAAATTTGACGAGGGATTTGACGAGGCTTGAATCACAGTAAATTAGCCTTTTTATGATATCACAACGTTTATAATTAATGCCAAACAGAAACTTGTAGATTTATAATCTACCAAGACGCGCGCAGAAATGAACTCGTCGACAGTTTTGGTCAACTATCAGTAATTTGGTAAAATTTGGAAAGTTTTCCAGCACTACCTCGGCTACCCAGCTACCCAGCTACCCAGCTACCCAGCTACCCAGCTACCCAGCTACCCAGCTACCCAGCTACCCAGCTACCCGGCTACCCGGCTACCCGGCTACCCAGCTACCCAGCTACCCAGCTACCCAGCTACCCAGCTACCCAGCTACCCAGCTACCCAGCTACCCAGCTACCCAGCTACCCAGCTACCCAGCTACCCAGCTACCCAGCTACCCAGCTACCCAGCTACCCAGCTACCCAGCTACCCAGCTACCCAGCTACCCAGCTACCCAGCTACCCAGCTACCCAGCTACCCGGCTACCTAGCTACCCAGCTACCCAGCTACCCAGCTACCCAGCTACCTAGCTACTGAGCTACCCAGCTACCCAGCTACCCAGCTACCCAGCTACCCAGCTACCCAGCTACCCATCTACCCAGCTACCCAGCTACCCAGCTACAGGGGTGTAGGAAGGGGTGTAGGAAGAGTGGGGGCAGGGGGGGCGACCGCCCCCCCCCCCCCCCCCCATAAAATCTGGAAAAGGGGCGAAAAGGGGCCAACTTTTTCAAGTAAATTAGCAGGATACAATCCAGCTGTGAGCTGGCATGAACATGAAATCTGATAATTTATATTACATATTCCGATATTACATGTCAGGATTCATCAGAAGTTCAGGAACCTAGCGATTATAAAATTCAGATAACATTGCTGGTTACTCTTCTATGCCGTGTTCAGTATTTTCAATACCAGAATCTTTCAATGAACCAGAAATCTGTTAATTTATATTACATATTCTGATATTAAACGGGTAGCTGATTTTGATAAAATAACATCGTGATCCGGCGTGATCAATTATTTTAATTGAAGTACAACGGCTGCACCCCTGACTTTTTAACTTAATAAGAGACGTATAATGTATATATTAGGACATTTGTAATTTGATAAAATTTAAAGTTTTGGTGTGTGACATGAATTAAAATACTGATATCTGGATATTATCCGGTTGGAAGAGACAAGGACAAGTGAAACAAGGAAGTTAGGAGTAAGGGCAAATTTTCGGCGTCAACGCCATCTTCAGGCTCAAATTATTTGTTATATAGTAGTGTTGAAAGTATTAAAATATTTTAATACTTTCAACACTACTATATAACAAATAATTTGAGCCTGAAGATGGCGTTGACGCCGAAAATTTGCCCTTACTCCTAACTTCCTTGTTTCACTTGTCCTTGTCTCTTCCAACCGGATAATATCCAGATATCAGTATTTCAATCATGAGACTAATAAACAGCGAACTACTCCGTTATTTGACATGAATTAAAGGTCTTTAAAACAAAACATATTACATGTCAGGATTCATCAGAAGTTCAGAAGCCTAGCGATTATAAAATTCAGATAACATTACTGATTACTCTTTTATGCCGTGGGAGTAAATTAGCAGGACACAGTGGCCCTCGGGTCTTTAAAACAAAACATATTACATGTCTGGATTCATCAGAAGTTCAGAAGCCTAGTGAGTATAAAATTCAGATAACATTACTGATTACTTTTTTATGCCGTGGGAGTAAATTAGTAAGACACAGTTTGCCCCTTGTAGTCCAAATTTACATTACCTCATTGCTAGAATTCGTTCCTTAAAACAAATTTTCCAAGAATTGTTCCAGTTTCTCCTTCCTTGCATGTTGTACCCTCTTTGAGAGTGAGACCTATAACTGTAAGAATATTTTTCAAAATTTGCAGGACATTTCCTTTGACCCTTAATTAAATGGGCACAACAAAATCTTTCTGGATTTATCATTTCACATTGCTAGATTTCAATTCTGGAAGCAAATTTCCTGAAATTCTTTTCCAGAGAATGCAATATGCACCCCTTTTTCGAACTACACTTATTTCGCAAGAGCTGCTTGCAGGCCCTAATAATTAATATGCATTTAAAATCGTATTATTTTAATCATTCTTGAAACTGTGTTTGAAAATGATCTCTATTGCCAAATTGCTCAGCTAGGCCTTTTACACGTTTTCAGGCTGTGGCCAAAGCGCGTGCAAAATTTGAGAAACTCTAAGATTTTGGCCCCCTCATGAAGAAAATCATTCCTACACCCCTGCCCAGCTACGCAGCTACCCAGCTACCCAGCTACCCAGCTACCCAGCTACCCAGCTACCCAGCTACCTAGCTACCCAGCTACCCAGCTACCTAGCTACCCGGCTACCCAGCTACCCGGCTACCCGGCTACCTAGCTACCCAGCTACCCGGCTACCCAGCTACCCGGCTACCCAGCTACCCAGCTACCCATTTACCCAGCTACCCAGCTACCCAACTACCCAGCTACCCAGCTACCCAGCTACCCAGCTACCCAGCTACCCGGCTACCCTGCTACCCAGCTACTCAGTTACCCGGCTACCCAGCTACTCAGCTACCCGGCTACCCAGCTACCCAGCTACCCAGCTACCTAGCTACCCAGCTACCCAGCTACCCAACTACCTAGCTACCCAGCTACCCAGCTAATCAGCTACCCAGCTACCCGGCTACCCAGCTACCCAGCTACCCAGCTACCCAACTACCCAGCTACCCAGCTACCCAGCTACCCGGCTACCCAGCTACCCAGCTACTCAGCTACCCGGCTACCTAGCTACCCAGCTACCCAACTACCCAGCTACCCGGCTACCCAGCTACCCAGCTACCCAGCTACCCAGCTACCCAGCTACCCGGCTACCCAGCTACCCAGCTACCCAGCTACCCGGCTACCCAGCTACCCAGCTACCCGGCTACCCGGCTACCCAGCTACCCAGCTACCCAGCTACCTAGCTACCCGGCTACCCGGCTACCCAACTACCCAGCTACCCAGCTACCCAGCTACCTAGCTACCCAGCTACCCAGCTACCCAGCTACCCGGCTACCTAGCTACCCAGCTACCTAGCTACCCAGTTACCCAGCTACCCAGCTACCCAGCTACCCAGCTACCCAGCTACCCAGCTACCCAGCTACCCAGCTACCCAGCTACCCAGCTACCCGGCTACCCAGCTACCCAGCTACCCAGCTACCCGGCTACCCAGCTACCCGGCTACCCAGCTACCCGGCTACCCAGCTACCCAGCTACCCAGCTACCCGGCTACCCGGCTACCCAACTACCCAGCTACCCAGCTACCTAGCTATCCAGCTACCCAGCTACCCAGCTACCCAGCTACCTAGCTACCCGGCTACCCAGCTACCCAGTTACCCGGCTACCCGGCTACCCAACTACCCAGCTACCCGGCTACCCAGCTACCAGGCTACCCGGCTACCCAGCTACCCAGCTACCTAGCTACCCGGCTACCCAGCTACCCAGTTACCCGGCTACCCGGCTACCCAGCTACCCAGCTACCCAGCTACCCAGCTACCCAGTTACCCAGCTACCCAGCTACCCAGCTACCCAGCTACCCGGCTACCCAGCTACCCAGCTACCCAGCTACCCAGCTACCCGGCTACCCAACTACCCAGCTACCCAACCACCCAGCTACCCAGCTACCCAGCTACCCAGCTACCCAGCTACCCGGCTACCCAGCTACCCAGCTACCCGGCTACCCGGCTACCTAGCTACCCAGCTACCCGGCTACCCAGCTACCCGCTACCCGGCTACCCAGCTACCCAGCTACCCGCTACCCGGCTACCCAGCTACCCAGCTACCCGGCTACCCAGCTACCCAGCTACCCGGCTACCCAGCTACCCGGCTACCCAGCTACCCAGCTACCCAGCTACCAAGCTACCCGGCTACCCAGCTACCCAGCTACCCAGCTACCCGGCTACCCAGCTACTCAGCTACCCGGCTACCCGGCTACCCAGCTACCCGGCTACACAGCTACCCGGCTACCCAGCTACCCAGCTACCCAGCTACCCAGCTACCCGGCTACCCAGCTACCCAGCTACCCAGCTACCTAGCTACCCGGCTACCCAGCTACCCGGTTACCCGGCTACCAAGCTACCCAACTACCCAGCTACCCAGCTACCCAGCTACCCAGTTACCCAGCTACCCAGCTACCCAGCTACCCAGCTACCCGGCTACCTAGCTACTTAGCTACCCAGCTACCCAGCTACCCAGCTACCCAGCTACCCGGCTACCCAGCTAACCAGCTACCCAGCTACCCGGCTACCCAGCTACCCAGCTACCCAGCTTCCCAGCTACCCGGCTACCTAGCTACCCAGCTACCCAGCTACCCAGCTACCCAGCTACCCAGCTACCCGGCTACCCAGCTACCCAGCTATCCAGCTACCCGGCTACCCGGCTACCCAACTACCCAGCTACCCAGCTACCCAGCTACCCAGCTACCCAGCTACCCGGCTACCCAGCTACCCAGCTACCCAGCTACCCGGCTACCCAGCTACCCTGCTACCTAGCTACCTAGCTACCCAACTACCCAGCTACCCAGCTACCCGGCTACCCAGCTACCCGGCTACCCAGCTATTCAGCTCTCCAGCTACCCGGCTACCCAGCTACCCGGCTACCCGGCTACCCAGCTACCCAGCTACCCAGCTACCCAGCTACCCAGCTACCCGGCTACCCAGCTACCCAGCTACCCAGCTACCCGGCTACCCAACTACCCAGCTACCCAGCTACCCAGCTACCCGGCTACCCAGCTACCCAGCTACCCAGCTACCCAGCTACACAGCTACCCGGCTACCCAGCTACTCAGCTACCCGGCTACCCAGCTACCCAGCTACCCAGCTACCTAGCTACCCAGCTACCCAGCTACCCAACTACCTAGCTACCCAGCTACCCAGCTAATCAGCTACCCAGCTACCCGGCTACCCAGCTACCCAGCTACCCAGCTACCCAACTACCCAGCTACCCAGCTACCCAGCTACCCGGCTACCCAGCTACCCAGCTACTCAGCTACCCGGCTACCTAGCTACCCAGCTACCCAACTACCCAGCTACCCGGCTACCCAGCTACCCAGCTACCCAGCTACCCAGCTACCCAGCTACCCGGCTACCCAGCTACCCAGCTACCCAGCTACCCGGCTACCCAGCTACCCAGCTACCCGGCTACCCGGCTACCCAGCTACCCAGCTACCCAGCTACCTAGCTACCCGGCTACCCGGCTACCCAACTACCCAGCTACCCAGCTACCCAGCTACCTAGCTACCCAGCTACCCAGCTACCCAGCTACCCGGCTACCTAGCTACCCAGCTACCTAGCTACCCAGTTACCCAGCTACCCAGCTACCCAGCTACCCAGCTACCCAGCTACCCAGCTACCCAGCTACCCAGCTACCCAGCTACCCAGCTACCCGGCTACCCAGCTACCCAGCTACCCAGCTACCCGGCTACCCAGCTACCCGGCTACCCAGCTACCCGGCTACCCAGCTACCCAGCTACCCAGCTACCCGGCTACCCGGCTACCCAACTACCCAGCTACCCAGCTACCTAGCTATCCAGCTACCCAGCTACCCAGCTACCCAGCTACCTAGCTACCCGGCTACCCAGCTACCCAGTTACCCGGCTACCCGGCTACCCAACTACCCAGCTACCCGGCTACCCAGCTACCAGGCTACCCGGCTACCCAGCTACCCAGCTACCTAGCTACCCGGCTACCCAGCTACCCAGTTACCCGGCTACCCGGCTACCCAGCTACCCAGCTACCCAGCTACCCAGCTACCCAGTTACCCAGCTACCCAGCTACCCAGCTACCCAGCTACCCGGCTACCCAGCTACCCAGCTACCCAGCTACCCAGCTACCCGGCTACCCAACTACCCAGCTACCCAACCACCCAGCTACCCAGCTACCCAGCTACCCAGCTACCCAGCTACCCGGCTACCCAGCTACCCAGCTACCCGGCTACCCGGCTACCTAGCTACCCAGCTACCCGGCTACCCAGCTACCCGGCTACCCGGCTACCCAGCTACCCAGCTACCCGGCTACCCGGCTACCCAGCTACCCAGCTACCCGGCTACCCAGCTACCCAGCTACCCGGCTACCCAGCTACCCGGCTACCCAGCTACCCAACTACCCAGCTACCAAGCTACCCGGCTACCCAGCTACCCAGCTACCAAGCTACCCGGCTACCCAGCTACTCAGCTACCCGGCTACCCGGCTACCCAGCTACCCGGCTACACAGCTACCCGGCTACCCAGCTACCC